TAAAAAAGAATCAAGTAATAGAAATCGATCTTATATTTCTTTCAATTAGAAACAGTTTTTAGATTAATGATTTGATCGAAACGAACCCAATTGCTTGCATAATCGTCATGCATAAATATTGATATTAATGTTTTTGGTGAAGAAATTTTTGTGAAGATTCAATTGAACATGTTTCTATCAGCCAATAGCCTTTCGTTCGCTTATAATAAAATTAATGATTTCTATTATTTGACTATGATCATAAGGTTATTTCATGAGCTACCAAGTTTGGCTAAGATAATGGTATATGAATTTCATAACAATTGTATCTACCTAGTTTCATGTATACTTGTGGAACTGAAACTGGCATATTGGACGAAATGATAATAAAAGTTTATCGAACAATGGAAATATTCACTTTTCCTAATTAATGTTTTGCATCTGAGCGACATTCACATCCATTACACTTGAAAATGTCACTACTAATCTATAAAATATGATTGTTTTCTATTAGCACCGTTCGTTTCACATATGAAAAGCCGCTGACAAATCAAATCATTAACGGTTTCAACATAATTAATATTATGTACGAACAAAAAAGTTTTTCTTTGACAATTTTGCAAATCTTGATTCATTCTTGTTTAACATTCTATCGCTGATTGTATGATAGCCGATAACGTGATAAAATTTAATGTTCCAATTTGTTTGCCACATAAAGTGATAACCGCAGTTTCTTTTTTGGAAAATTATAAATTAACTATTGTATTTCTTCCAATCAATTGAAAAACCTCAAAGATTTTGTAATATGCAGCTACGGTGAAATTATAACAAAAAATCGATCGAAAAGATACAGAAAAAATGACAAGCATTAATGAAAAATAGAGTTGAAATATGAAAAGTAGACAAAAACAAAAGCAATACATAAAAAGCGGTAATTGTAAAAATAAAACAGAACATATTCACAAAAGAAAAAGAATTAGCGATATAATAAGATTCAGGCGCCGAAATTAGAAAGTTCAAAGGATCTTCTCTCTATTTAACTTTATAAGTAAACCTAGGACAGGAAGAAGGGTATAGGTGCTCCCAAGGCTGAAAGGATGAGATCTAGAAACGGAAGTTCACCTGTGTTTGTTTGTAATACATGGTACAGGTGACTAGGACGGTGATACGAAGAACCATGTATTGCAGAAAGACAGACGAACAAAGATGAGTTTCCGTTCCCACGCTAACATCTCAGTTTAAGTCAAGCGAGTCGGATCTTGATGAGCGTTACTTATTTTTAATTGAGTATTTGATGCAATTTCGGGTTATTCGTCTTTCGATTGCTTCGAACTTTTGCCTGATTGTATGATTAATAAATTGTTCATCTCTTGAAGATAATGATCTTCAATCCATTTTTGTGCCCTTAATGCTCTAGAAAACTGGCGAGGATTATCCTGTATTATTGTAGCTCTATCATTACGAAGTTCTTCGATAGTTTTGCTTATCCCATTTCCTTCTAATATTTGTTGAATAACTGTATAACCTGAATCATTATTTATATTTGGAGTATCTGTGACTTTCCTATTATTTAACATTAGTTCAAAATATCCTACGTTAACATTTCCCTGACTATTTCGTTCTCCTTTTTTGTATAGTACAATGTTGGTACATCTTGTTTTGTCTTCGTGTGTTAGTTCATAAGTAGGATTATCCACTAGTTTTAGTTCTAAGCCATGCTTTTTGGCTAATGTAAGTATGTCTGACATGTTTGCTGGCATATTCGTTCTGACACCTAGAGCATAATCACTTATTTTCTCATCGTTTTTTCGACTATTTATTTCATCTGTTTGTTGAGCATAATGAATCATTTCACATTGACTATATGAGATAGTATAATCTTTAGCGTTTTGTGCAATTTGTTCTGTAATTGTATTATATATTCTACTGTTTTCTTGATTTTGACTAGATGAATTTTGTTTTTCGTCTACAACAACATAACGTTCGACTGTTTCAGAAAAAATATTTGTTAATTTTCCTGTAGCATAAGTACTCAAAGGCAAGATAAGTTGTGATTCTGTAATTCTAAATATTTGTTCAGTAATCATATCTGATATTAACTTCATTATTTCATTCAAATTATCTACATTTGAAATATTCGAATGTAGGCATTTCAAAACATTTTCAATTTTCTCTTTACATTCATTGAATTCATTCAAATGAGTACAAATAATTTCTTCGGAAAAATTTTGTCCGTTGAACTTTTCATTTTGATCTAATATGTTTTGCTCTTGTAGAATATTTATGATATGTGTAACATCATTTCTACTGACTTCACAATAATGTTGCAAAATATAACGCATGGTTAACGTTTCTTGATCAATATTCGACAGTTTTTTTAAAAGTTGATTATGAACCTTCTCGACAATAAAAATAATTTCATGCAATCCTCTTAGTCCACCAGGTATTACGTTACCAATATTTGCAAAGCTACGTGTTACTGACATCCTAGATAAAATATCTTTGCATAAAATACCACCTATTGAGTCAAATTGCTTACTCCAGAAATTATCTTCAGAATTGATTATTTCACGTATTATTTTATCAATTTTTTCTTTAAAATATGTGCTTCTAGTAAATGAATCAAATGTATACATTTTATTCACTATCATTTTTAAATCAGATTCACAAAATTTCGTATAAACTTCACTTTGTATGGATTCTGAAACTTTCGGCTTCTATCGATTCAATAAAAAATTTGAGCTGACATCTAGTGATTTACTTAAACTTTCTCTTATAATATTTTTTTGAATTGTTACTCCAATATGTTTAGCAGCTAGACTATGTAGATTTTTCCCTGCTACATTTAATGTTTGGTATACGGACCTACCATTTGTTATCACTCTCGTACCAGCTTGTTCAATTACTTCTTCTCCGACGCTTACAACTAAATTCTGAGCTCCTTTAGCTGCATCTTTGAGTGGTGAGAGTCCCATTGAAGCTGCTGAAATAATTAGACTTACTGCCTTTTGTTTCGCGAAATCTGACCAAGAAAATTGTCTTGTGCTATATACTCTGTAAGCAATAAATAAATCTGCTCCTCCTTCAGTGACAAGACTCATTCCTAAAGTGGCCCCAAATCCACTACCTATTAATAGTCCACCTATTGCCATTTGAATATTAGCTAGAACACATACGCTAACAATACTTGTCCATGGAATAAATTTTTTTTCATTAATTTCAATTAAATATTCGATACCACGTCCAGAAAATTCAGCTAACTCTAAATTAGGCCGTAGTTGATTCATAAATAATTCACTTAAAGTTTTAAATCTCTGAACTTCTATGTTCTCTTGTTCTATTGGAGCTAATTCTATTATTTGTTTTGCTTCATGACTTGTCAGTTGTGTAAATACTAAACTAAATTCCAATTTATGTTTTCTTATCTGTTCAATAATTGTTTTGGCTGCTTTTTTTCGTAACATATTAAACTTTACATTTATAAGTTCATCTTTTAATCCAGTCAAAAGACATTTATTCTGTATATTAATAAAAGTTATATTAAAATTCGCATTAGGACAAATATTAAGTATATTATCTACAATGCTTTTATTTACATCAATTAATTTCATAGTCGTAGATTTATCTGTAATTTCTGAAATTTTTTGCTCGGCTCCAATCTTATTTACTACTTCCGTAATATCATGTTCTTTTACGCGACTATACAATTGTATCCGTTCCGTTGTTAAAGAATCAATAACTTTTAGTAATGTTTCTTTATTGTCGGTGAATTCAAGAGTAATGGATCTAGATACTATCGTTCTTAACTTTTCTTCAACATTTTCTGCTATTAATCCAATGAATTCGATCGTTATATTTGAACGATATAATACTTTTTCTAAGATTTTTGCTGTTTGATTAGCTGATTCGAAACTCAAATTGAAACGTTCATTTTGATCTATTCGTTCTGCGATTAGTTTCATTGCGACTTTGACGCTCAAATCAGTCATTTTCTCTGGTATATTATTATTCTCGGAAGTAATTTCTAAATTAATTCGGGATGAATCGAGGGACCAAGTTTCTGGTAATAAATATCGATCGAAAAAACAAGTATTTTCTTTCAATTGTGTCAGAGCTTCTTCTTTTGTCAACTCTTTAACTTCAATGTTTGGATTTAGAAAATCTCTTAACTTCTCTGCATTAATCTGTTGTATAGTTATGTTTATATGTTCATAATCATAGTCCAAAATTCCACTTTTTTTAGAAAAACATTTAACTTTTTTGAGAGGTGAAAGTTCAATAGCTCTATCAAACAAATCATTTTCATTTTGATACAGTATCTTATCGATAATCTCTATTGCTTGATCTTTAGTTCCACTATCTTGTCTAACAGTTAAATCATTAAACGTTACCTCGTATTGATTATGATCTGTTGATTCTTGAAGAAATGCTGGAAATTCTTCTCGAATATGACTATTTTTTGATTTAAGTTTTTCATAAATTAAAATATAAATTTTCATATGAATATCTCGATCGAGAATCGTTTCATCATACGATAAAGATAAAAGTGCATTACTCAAAGTAGAATCATTCACTATCCATTCTCTTAATCGATCTTTATTTTTTTGTATATAAAAAACTGTAACTATATTATTTTTTTCCTTCGTAACAATAATTTCTTTACTATTGGGAATTAATGTCTTGTAATGATCTAGACGGTTATAAGGTATTAAACGAATGTCGTACCATTTTACACATCCTTTTTCAATGCCATCATATGAAATTATTCTTTTAAAGATTCCGTATTGTAAATTTGCTAAAACTTCGTTCGAAAAACTCTTACTGTTATATTTATCTTCTATTAATTTTGAGTAATCTACCAATTCTGTTATTTGAATTAATCTTTGCGATTTCTTAATAATCTTTACAGTATTTTCTAAACTATTACAATAAGAACCAAGAATATTATATTTTTGAATTAATTGTTTACTAAGATCAGTATTCATATTCTGACAACGATGTTGTAAAAATGATTGTATAACTGTTAGTGCCGACATTTCTTCACTAAGAATTTCAAGTGCTTTATTAAATAGTCGAATAGCCATTTCTTTATAATCTATAGATTGTTCGTTTGAACGAAAGAAATTTTCTTTACCTTTTAATAATAACCAACCTTTTCCGGCAAATGCAGCTGCACTATGTTTTGAATCAAGTTCTATAGCTCGATCGAAATGTTTCATCGCATTATCATAGTTTCTGTACAGTGAAGAATCATTAATAACTAAGTCATTAGCAATGGCAATATGACAATAAGGATTCTTAATAATACAATCATTTTCGTAATTGTCTCGAATTTTTTTACTAAATTTTTCAAATTGTTTATGAAATATCTTGCTATCAGTTGGAGCTTGTTGATTATCGATTTGATATAAAAACATTGCCCATTGTTCTTCAATGCTGAGAAGTATATTAGACTCAAGAACGGACGGCGAAATATTTGTAAATATCCTTTTAGCTTGATTTTCTATTTTTACATATAAACTATTTTTTTCTCTAATTTTTTGTCTTATTTCATTTAACAACAAACAAAACTTGGTAAAAAGTTCATCTTTCAAAGTAATTATTTGTAGTTCACGCTTTTGAAAATCATCTAACATGTTTACCTCAATATTATCTCGTAGTTCTGTGATTTTCTGTATGTTGAAGTTTTTGTAATGAGCTAAACTAGCAGCATTTATTATTCTTTGACCTGTACCACGCTTACCTTGTCGTGCAGTTCTACCAAATGCTTGTTCTTCAACACGTTTATTAGATGGCATAAATGTAACAATAACATGAAGACCACCATATTTTTCAATATGATCCGTTTTTATATCATTACCTCGAGCTGGTAAATTTGTAGCTACAATAATTTCTCTCGGATATATTTTTTCGATATGTTTCTCTTGATTCATATTATTCATCGTATATAATTTTATCGTACTTGAACGGTAATCTCGTCGGATTTTTTCTGCTATCTGTGCACTATATTCAATTGTTTCACATATAACAAGTATTCCTCGTTCTTTTCTCGATTCATTAATTGCCGAATGACATATTTCATTAAGCCAATCAACTTCATTAGTCAATACAAGATCAGGCAATGAAAGATACTGCTTTTGACGCAAACTGGGAATAATACCTAGATGTACATTATATATATCAACTAAGACTTGCTTAGCTTTTTCAGAACCAAGTGTTCCTGTAAGACCGAATAAATTCGAACCATATTTTATAAAGAATCCTTTATTTGATAGAAAATTCGTAGTAAAAGTTTCAGACGTCATTTTTAGATCATGTTTCAGTTGCAAAAATTGATGGAGACCATCACTCCAATGTGAAAAATTTTGAACAATACCTGTACTAGCATAATCTACCGGTTTAATTAAACCTTGATGTACGACGTAGTGTACATTTTCCTGATAAGTTAATGCAGTCAGAGCATTATCTATCCATTTACACATTTGTGTATCAACAAATTCTTCAAAGCCTTTTGGTATGATGGTTAATCTATCAATTAAATTTCTAATGTTATTTCTTAAATCGTCTTTGATAAATGCTTCAACTTCAACATTTTCTGAAATCGATATTTCAATATGACTAATGTCCGAAGTAGATTCTACGTAGGTTTTCAAATCAGGAATTTTGATAATATTTCCTTGTTGTTCATCAATATATTCTAAAATGATTTTCTCTTGTTCAGAACTAATTTTCCCATGAAATAAATAGATTTTATTATTAATTTCAAGCATTCTTTCTTGTAAATAAACAAGTCGATACCATAAAGTGTGGTATATTATTTGTAATTGATCTATTCCCGGTATGGTAGTCGCAAGTCTTGCAATTTTCGAACTATCATCAATCAGCATACTGTCTACTTCATCTACTATAGCAACTTCAAACTTTCTATTTCCTAAAGTATTAAGTTGACTATATTCTGTTCTTAGAGTATCAAACTGAAATTGTGCTACTTCACCATAAACTATCTCACTGTTATAACAAGATTTTGGACCTGTCCAATAAATTGATTTATCATTATTATCACTACATTGTAAATTAAACATATTGTAGAAATTTTTCTTTTCTTTTGCGGCTCTTTCTGCGAGTACAGGTGAACTAGTAATAACATCAACATTTTTTCCTTTTAATACATGTATTACTGCTAATACAGCTATAATTGTTGATTTACCTTCACCAGTTCTTATTTGCAACAACATTCCTTTATCGGTATTTGCTTTTAAAAGAATTATACAACTTAAAAGTTGAGCATCAGTCAAATGAAAACCACTGTCTAAGAGATAAGCTTGTTTTATTACTGCTAAAGTTTCTACAATAAAATCGTCTGTATTTTTACACGAATGACCATTATCTTTTATTGTTTTTGCCCATCCTTGAATTTCATGTTTAGTCCATTCATTAATATAGACTTGTCTTCTCTTTTTCAATTTTTCATCATATTTATATTGCATAGTTTGACTGAGAATTTTAGAAGTTAAATTCGTACTTTTAATTTTATTTATTAAATCCACTAAATTTTTTCTAACTAATTCTATTAAGTCTTTATTTTGAGAATTATTTGTTTCAAATTCTGGTATTAATTCTGTTACATTTCTTAGTTGACCTATTTCAGGAAAATTAGCTTCAATTGCAATGATATTTATCAATCGATGCCAATTCTGTGCTGGTTCTTTGAGAGCTACTAATATCTTTTCTTGATTTTCTGCTGTTGAAAATATGTTATATTGTGATAGTATTTCTAGGACACAAAAAAAATTTATTTCTTTGATTCGTTTCTCTTCATTATTCGAAGCATCAAGATTTTTGAAAATAATATTCAATTGTTCAAAAGTCCATTTACTATTTAATAAATTACTAAGAATAAAAGCTAATTTTGAATGATCAACATATATAATTTGATTATCCAAAAATTTTATTTCTAACAATCTTTTCAACATTGAAATGCTTATATATTGAGTATGTATATCAAATATCTTAATTTTATTTTCTTCGGCAAAATCTAAAAGTTCTTCAAAATCTTTTAAACTATCTATAGTCTGTACTGTGTCCAAAAGTTTTTTACTTATATCAAAATTAAATTTTGTAATCATTTTACGTACTAAATCATCGATATATTTGTTATTTATTTCTGTATGTAATAAACGTTGAAAAATTAAGTCTCTGAGAATTTTTTTGAGAACATCCTCATATGGACTTGGACTAATCGATAAGATATTATAAATACTTTCAAAGTCAATATTCGTTAGAACTTTTATTAGCTCATTACATTGATTAAACGAAATTCTATTATTTAACTGAATTCGATGTAATAATTTAAGTAATATATCACTTTGACCTTGTGGAAATCCAGTATATTCTTCAATTTCGAGCCAAGTTTCATAAAAATCAAATCGTTCTATTTGACTTAACGTAAATCTTTCTAATAAATCAAACATTAACAATTCTCTATTCCATTGATTTTGTGGTTTATTACAAATTGTGGTAAAATCAATGTATTTTATTGTGCTAACAGTTTCAAATAAATCTAAATCTATAGCTACCTTAACCCTTGTGTGAGATTCCAGATTGATTATGATGTTATTACACAATTCTTCAAATATTTTAGACTTATCGTTTCTGACATATGCTGCTCTTAGGCCTCTAAAGGACCCACTTCTTATTATGTCATTATTGGTGGAAAGATATTTTTCTAAAGTCTCATTCTTTGATATACCCATAACTTTAGATATCAGAGCAATACATGCCAATAATTCAACTTCTAAATTTAGAAATGTATTACCATATTCTAATAAACCTGCTAAACTATCTAAGATTTTAGATAAATTATTTGTTTGACATCGTTTCATTTTAATAACTTCTTGATATGCCATTAGAATATTTTGGTTTATTTTTTTTGATAAAATTTCCTTTTCTAACCTATCTACTATCGATGATTGCGAAGAATGACACGGATTTCTTCTTAATATCAACGCAAATATATCAATCAACTCTCGTTCTAATTTCATGCAGAAATCATTTTCATTTTTATTCTTAGGAATTTGAATAGAAAGCAATTTTGACATTGATAGATCAGATAATATATAGTGCTGATTAAATTCATGTCGAATATTTTGTAGAAATTGACTAAGATTTTTTAGTTCAATATTATCGGTACTATCAACTTGTGAAAACAAATTTAAATGACGTCGAAATTTTTCTGGAATCGGCTGATTTTCAGCGATCAATTTCAATATATCATTGTGAATAGCAATACGAGATATTAGTTCATTTGGAAGTATTTTTCCTGCTTTAATTGTTTCAATTATCAACTGTCTACATAATATTCTGGTTTCTTTCGAGCTCATACTAAGCATTAAAATAGTAATACTGTATAACAATGTATCTGTCATATTTTCTTTATTCGAACATTGTAGTAAAGTTGTCAATGCTTTTTCATTTAATTCTGGATAATTATTAATGATATTATCTATTTGATTAAAATTTTGTTGAAATAATTTCGGTTTAGAAGACTTAGCCAATTCTTCGAGCAATTCATCATTCGAATTATACTTTAAATTAACCAATTTCATTCTGCATTGTTGACTATAATCTAATGTGGATGTATTTAATAGTATATTAATATCATTTTTCATATTTTCATCACAAATAGTATTTCCTGTTAGATCTAATAAAATATCTATACTTTTCTGATTAAGTTCAACTTTATGAAATGTTATAAGTATTTTTAATCCATTAAGACTTTTACGAATAACATTTTGATCGTTTCCTTTTAATAAATGGATTAAAACTGATTGAATACGTGAAACTAACCTAATACCAGCATCAGAAAATGGATTAAAAAATTGACGAAAGGAATCTATAAAGTTTTCTTTAAAATAATCTTTGTTTTGAATCAATGAACAAATAACAGATAAATATTGTTGAATAATCAATGAATTTTGTAAAATTAAAATTTTATCTAAGATTTTAATGATTATATTTTTTGATAAATATTCACCTTTTAGTGCCAGAAGTACAAAAATTGACAATACTTGATCTGAAATCAGTGAATTTTCTAATGCTTTCTCTAATTTCAATGTAAGTTTAGCTGAAATATTTTGATTATTTTTAACTAAATTTTCAAATATATCAATCAAATGGCAATTTGCTTGCCGAGGATCGAATCTTTCTACCAGCTTATTAATTAAATTATCAGGTAGAGGTTGTGCATTTTTAGAAATATTCAAAAAAATTCCGAAAACCTTTTCATCCAATTCAGATGGACTATTCATTATTTTGTGTAGCATTATAAATCCATTAAGTGTTAATCTTTGATTTTGTTCTGTCATTTTGTATACGTAAGAAATAGCATCATTACTGTCTGATGGAAAAGAATTAACGGTGATAATAGCTCTTTCTAATTCTAATATACAAAAAATTTCATCGGACATATCTTGATTATCATTAGCTATATCCAATAGTTCAAATGATTCGTCTCTTAATTGACTATCGTGTGATGAGTAAAGATTATCAGCAAGAAAAAGCAGAAATTTTTTACTAACAATTTGTCGATTTCTAATTACGTTACTCAATACTCTTAAAGCTTGATAAGAAATTTCCGGTATACTAATTGCATTGCCTAATGCAAAAATTGTATCTTGTGGAATAGAATATTTATTAGCTGAATAATTATAAAGTATTTCGATTGCTAGAGCTTGATTACAGCTTTCAAACAATAAAATATGATTAAATATTATGAATATATGATCGTCAAATATATTGTATTTAGATTCGTTACGCAAAATATATAAAATATTCTTATTGACTACATCAGCAAAGCTTTCTTCATCTAACTGTAAATCTTCAAATACATAAATTCTTGGTAAAAATTCAATATAACTTTTCATAATAGGTTTTTCGGTTGATGACAATTTCGCTAGAACTCGAGTATATGCAACAGATGAATAGACGGCAACATCATGTATTTTATTCTCTGTATGGTCTTTTAGTTCAATTAAAACGTCATATCCAAATTCATGAGTTTTTGAAGCTAAATACAATGATTTCGCTGATAAAATACATGTTTGCTTATCCTTACTGTTTAGTGCTTTAGCAAGATATTCAAGAGTTTGATCTTTAATCATTACGTTTTTCTTTAAAGTATTGACAAGGATTCCGGCTACTAAGGATGAAATCCATTGACAATCTGTATTATCATTTGAAATTTTCTGGCATGTGATATCAGCTCCTTCGCCAACTATTACCCAATCATCTAACAATTTAGTTGACAACTTATCCACATTTGGTATAATCTGTCTTTGAGAAACAATCTCTAAAGCTATAATTGCGAGATTATCAAATTTATTATCATCATTGTTGATATTTTCGATTAGGGCTTGAATAACAAAATCCGGTAAATTTTGATTTTTGACGACAGTCAATACTATAGATCGTAATACTTCGATTTTTAATTCAGATTTGTAATGAGAGTCATTTAAAATATGAGCATAAGTTTGTAATTGAGTCTCATTGAAACCTTCGCTATAACTATGTTCAAGGTAATTATTAATTATCGTACAAATGTTTATTTTGGTCTGTTCACTTATATTAATGTTCTTTAATAAATGAATTATTCTGCAAATAACATTTCCACTAAATAATTCTTGACATCTTTTCTCATCTTTACTCTGTTGATAGATATACGGTATCGAATCTTCTACAATAATATTTTTCTCGATTTGTTCTAAACAACTTGTAAAAAGTTTCTTATAATCAATATCATTACTACCTACTAGAGATCCTAATATTTTCACTATAAATGTTTTAAATTCAATATCAGTTTCATTTTGATAACATTGAATTTGTTTCAATCGTTTATTGTTCAATATAGTCTTATTTCTGGAAGAACAAATATAAATGGTTGAAATTGCTTGTAACCTTATTTTCCGTATTTCAGATGTAATCGCTTCTGAAATTTGTTCATGATTTGTAATCGATTCATCGCAGATTTTACGTTTGAAATTTATAACAGTATCAGGTTCATTTCTATGAATCAATTTAGGTTGTATTTGAGTACATTCAGATTCTTCGCATTTTCTGTTCCTATTCATCATCATAATATCTACTGAGATTTTTTCTTTTTCCGTAGCTTCACCTAAAATTTTTTCTTCCAAACGATCGAGAGTATCTACACAATTCATTAGTAGATTAATAATATTATCATGTAATATTTGTTTTTTTGAAATTTCATAAAATATGTCAGCGATCATCCGATCTGTAAGTAGTACTTTAATGGAATTATCATAAAACCACTTATTTTTCGGTCCTATGAATTTTGATGGTAAATATTCATCTTTATCTTTTCTTTTTAGTGCTTGACCACTTTTAACTCTTTTATAGAGATGTACAACTTCTTTATAGGTAGTTCAAAAAGTAGATGTATCGCTTCCATCTTCATCAGATATGATTGGAAAATTTTCTCGATTAGATTTAACTTTTATTTGCTTGTTTAAATTCTTAAAAATCTGAATCAAATTCAATCTATTAGCTGATTCTTCGGATTGATTATTTCTGTATTTAAGTTTAACTGTTTGCTGATTTTTTGTAATTGCTATCTGGGGTGTTTTTTTATTATAATTAATTGATGTTAAGTGTTTTTTATGAGTTACTTGTCGATAGTTTCTATGATTTAAATAATTTT